ATCTGTCAAACTTTGATGCTTCACGCTTCGATGCGTGACCTTCGTGCACGGCTTCTCGGTCAGCATTCTCCATGCCGCAGACTTGCATGAGCGAAGGGCACTAGTCTGGACGGGCCAACCCCATGCGCCCTTGGTATCCTTAATCGGTGGTACCTAGACCTAGACATCTTCTCCGTTTTGCTCCAGTCTTCTGATTGGAGTTCAACAGAGGTGCATCCGAACGATTTTGAAGCCGTTTCTCGCATGCCCGAGGTCTACAGCTCCAAACCCATTGAAACGTGACAGCACGTGAGTGGTGGCATGCAGCAAGCTCGCTTCAGAAGAGTCGCATAGCCAGGACCACAGGTCCACAGTTCACAGGTCTTCTGGCAGCACTGGGCGTCGTTGGAGCCTGTATGTCTTCTGCGGATGCCATAAAGACAATGTGCCTTTAAAACTGGTACCGACATTTGGACGAATTAGGATAAACGCTTTTTCGAGTGACTGGGTGCGGGAGAACCTATGCCTGAGTGCAGAGGGATAGCCACTTGAAGAGTGGCAACGTTTCTACTTCGCAATTTCTGGGTTTGCATGTCCTTCAATCACCTACGAGTACGACGACATAGCCGTAAGCGCTTTCGCTTGGGCGTGCCTTCCAGTTCGTGGTGGTCGCTCTTCGGCACCCAGCCGTCGCCTGAGTTGTCAAGGCACGATAGGCTTGACACTCACTCCAGGGAGTGTCAGGTGTGCCAACGCACTAGCCATTACGGCATTGCTGGGGAATAGCCCAAGCGCTGAGGCAAGAACTGCAAACATATCCCGTGCAGTCGCCCACTTCGAAGGCCGCAGCCTGCGCTCATGCAGAGACCTATCGGACATGCTTCCGGGGCGGTTGAGGACCACCAGTGAGGCACTCTGTATCTCCTAGCTTGGCAATTTCGCGAATCTTCGAGGAAAAGCCGCTGCCAACGGTCCGACATCCTGAGGCGGCTTCAAGGTCACAAGTTGTGGTTATCGGTTCTCGCTTGGGAATGTCGGGTATGTAGGACGTCCACGAGCACTCCAACTTCCGCGTCACGCCAGAAGTGCGAGGGCACTGCAGCATCGTCCAATCACATGATTGAACATGCAACCGGATTCATTTAGAGCCCCATCCAAGCTGTCTTCCCCATCTGTGCCTCCTGTGCCTCAACACCTTAGCTCAGTGTACAAGTCTTGCTTGGGCCTAGCTTAGAGGCAAATTGTGCACCATTCAGGCCCGACGCGCACTGATGATTGGCCCTGATTGTCCGGGTATGCAAGCAACTCACACATCAGCCTGATGTTCGCAGCAAGTTGCCAGAGGATGACAGAAGTCCAGCCTTCAAGGCCTGGCATGCATCTTCGGACTGTGTGGACTATTGCATGCATGAAATGTATACAGTATACCGAAATACTGAGTCGACAGCAGTTCATGTGAGCAAAACGCATGGCCTCGAGCCCTCACCCCTGCTGGAGACAGATGAACCGGAAGATGCATATCGGCTGTGGAAGGAGATCACTGTGTGTCGACGTAGCAAGAGCTGTCCAACTTCAGCTTTGCTGAGCCGCTTCGATTGCAAGCCACGTACTTGTGCGGTGTCAGTTAACATAACACGGACTTTCACCGGTCTCAGGCAACAAATCCAGATGCCGCTTCCAAATCTGTCTGGGCCTGAGAAGTGTAGATGTAGAGGGCAAAAGCAGCCTCAGCCACTCACGTGCCACGGCTTTGAGAGCAAGTTAGCACGAGGTTGAGATGAATTGAGATGTCAGAACTCAACCTGGTTACAGGCATACAGTGCGGTCATTGAGGGCATCGCGATCTTCATTGACAAGGACATAGGGGCTGCAAACATCAGGATCCCCTGCGCAAAGGGCTAGACATCAGACTTGAGAGAACTGCCTGACTCTATGCTTCCCTTCGAACACCAGCTCGAGCTGGTGAAACTCCACTCCAGGCCACGTAGCTGCTTTGCCACAGGGCACGCGTACAAACCCACAGCCTTGCCTTTTCAGCTTCGTTCGGGTCGCATGGACGAACGAGCAACTTTGGGCCAAGACATGCATCGGTGCTAAGGTTTGGACACGGGAATCAATCGTAATTGAGCATCGCAACAGTCATGCAAAGGTCTTGCAAGAATGCATACAGGTCGTTTCCAGAGCATGCGCTCAGCGCAAACAATCATGGCAGTGAATCGTGGGTTGCAACAACAACCCTGCAACCGGACTGCGTTGGCGGCCTGGGTTTCTGGCCTCGGCGGCACAGCGGTGTTGAAAAATCGTGTCGCAAACAAACTGTGGTGCAAAGGTCAGGCAGTCTCTAGAGCCCTGCACTCACTTTTTGCCTCAGCACAGGCTCCTTCCCAACATCAGCCGTGTCCAAGGCGTAAAGTTGACAATCTCCCAGCAGTCCTCAGCACGACAACATCACGAGACCTCCTTTGCTCAGGCATGCGAGTACATCTCCGAGCAAACGAGGTGCGCCAATCAATGTCCGCCCAGGTGCGATTTGTGGCAGGATTGCAAGATGAACGCCAAACTATCACACCGTTGTTGTGCTTGAGGCTTTGCAATGATTTGCAAGAGTGTGAAGCTGCCCGCAACCCACCTCAAGACAGTGCCTGCCCCTCCAGACCTCACCACCCCGAGTTGACTCCCGCCGCGCTCGTTATCTCTCTCAGTGGAGCGTATTAAAAACCTCTAGATTTGCGAACCCACGGTTAGATGGGACGGACTCACGAAACGGCAGCTTCAGACACGGCTCGCGCAGAGTGCTCGAACTGCAGACTTTTGACCTGCGGCGTGCAAATTCTGTCGTGTTCAGCTTCTCTCCATAGCTCCTAAGGCCCAAAGGCAAACCTTTATAGTTGCAATGAACCCGAGGCAGTTTTGTTTACTAACCTGATGCAAAACTCTCAGACCTCTAGGGACAGAACATATGCACAGAACACTTCGGCCACGCGGAGAACATCTCCGTGTCTCCAAGGCACGCAAGCACCGACAGCTTCGCAGAACGTGATCGAATTCGCGGGCAGCTGTTGCAACCTCATCTCCTGGCAAAAAGTACCGACCGAGTAGGGGTTTGGCCCTGTTCCATTATGATTATTTTGTTGGGGCTTCTACCATGGAAGTCGACTGGGGTGCTTGGCGAGAACAGCTTTGCTTTATGCCGGCAAATGTCCTCGAAGAGGCACAAGGCTTGCGGCCAACGTGCGTCATCTTCACAGGCCCTGATGGCGGCGCTGAAAGAAATCCTCGGATTCAGTCGCACTGCACCTCCGATTTACGATTTACGATCAGCCCCTCGAAAACGATGCAACTTCTCATAAAGCCGGGCTTCACATCTGCTCGGTATCCGCTTCGGCGAAGCTCGTCCAGAAGCCCCAGCGCACGCTGCCACTGCTTACCTTGAACATGTCACGACCAGCTGATTGCAGGTTTCGGGGCTGGTGAGCAGCCACAGGGAAGCTCATTATACAAACCCCGGTGCTATTTACCAACCCCGCTGAGATGCCCTTCTCGCAAGCAGAAATGGCTGCATTGCATGTCAACACATTCAGCGGAATCCGCTGAGAGGAAAGGTCCTGCTAAGCAGCTGCTGATGTATACATCGTCGCTTTGTGGGTTTGTACGCCATACCACCAGGCTTGGCTTCAGATCCGAAGCTACGGAGGATGTGTCATGCGCGCAATATGGAGGACACTTGAACGACATCATATGAAAGCTTCGATCGATGTCTGCTTGCACCCACACGTCCTCCAGCAAGCAAAGTGCAGCTTGCCATTGGCCACCTTGCAAATATTTCGTTTGATATTTGCCTCGCAGCCTCTACAGTACCATGCGAGCATGCTTGACCACCAATCAGTCGCACTGATATCTCAGTCGTACCGACATGTCACTCCCACAGTGCCTGTCTCCAAAGTTCCCACGACAGCGTCCAAAAACAAAAAACGGTCCCAAGGCATGTTCTGAAGAAGTCCTCTGTGCTATCAAGTCTGGAAATCCTCCAAGTGCCGAAAGGGCGAAAATAGTGCGGCATGAGCGAGTGCGAACGAGTGGGTGGGCTGTCTTGCCAAGTGCCCAAATCTAACCTAGGTGGTACTTTTCCCTGCTTGGATTGACGGGCTCAGAGCGTGGAACTCTTGCCGGATCTCCCCGACGACGAAACCGGAAGAGATGGGGGAGGCAAAGTTCGGCCGGAGTGCACCCCAGGCCACTCACTTACTCACTCTGCAAACGTTCTAAATATCACTATCCCAATGTACCACCGAATCACTATGACAATGATGCATTATCGAGTGCTACAATGCCGAAAGGCACTTCGCTCAAGACTGGACAAGATTGGCTTGGTCGTACAAAAGAATGTTTGCCTGACTGCGTTGTGGATTGGGGAAGGATCTCGGTTACTCACTACTGTGTGTCTTGTATAGTGGAATTTTGCATTCACCCATCCGCTCGACGGCAGGCAAGCACGCTGGCTTGCTTGATTCATTGTACTACACCGACACTGTTAATGTTAATGATCTGGCGGCTGTCCAGCGTTGCGCCATAAGCACATTCGGCAGTTCTGTGCATGTCGACGTCAGGTCTAGCACACATCAGCCTGTGAACATGCAGCACCCCACCTTTCTCGCAGGCTGTCACGGTCGCGCCGAAGGTGACGATGTTGGGAAGCAGTTTGAGTTCCGACAGCTCGTCGAAGAGATGAAGGGCCTCGGGTTCCAACATGCCCAAACACCTGTGCCGGATTACTGGGTCTGGACTCGCACACTCGCACAATGCAGGCATAGGGTTGAGGGTTTAGCGTTTAGGGAGAGGAGAGGAAGTGGAGAGGCATGGCCGGTCTTCAGAAGTGCGCTGATCCTTCGCTCGTCCATCGACCGACCGACGAACAAGAAGGGAAGTGAACGGTAAGGAAAGACAAGCCAGCAAAGCAGCGCGTGGAAGCAGACCTGTATACAGCTTACCGCATTCAAGCTGTTATGGCTTCAGGCTCCTGCCTGCTCCCATTGTGGATCCCACTGCTCGCCATCACTCAGGGCACTGATGGCCTCGGCTTGTGGCACTGTGGCACAGCTGCCCTGCGCTTGTCACCAGAGCCAAATTGACAATTGAATGCGAATCACAAATCAGCCGTGATGTTGCCGCTAGAATCTATGTTTAACTCCGTTTGTAAGGCATTCGGCCATTCTGCCTGGGGACGGCCGAGTAGGTGTAGATATCTGGCTGCAGGGAGCGCTGTGGAAGGAGGTCGAGAAAAGCCAAGGATTGTTCCCACTGCCCAGCTATGCCACAAGCGCTCACGGCTGCATTGTAGGCGACCTAAAGGGCCATGGGGGATGTCCATGGCATGATCTCCAGACGTGGACATCCTGCCAAGGTTCGATGTTGGCTTCAAGCCTGGAGCTGGTCGTATCTTCGAGAAGCTGCAAAGCAATCCTCCACTGTCCACCTTCAGCGAGAGTCGGGTGTTGGGCCTTCACAGACCCCCCCGACCCTGCCTGCTTCGCAAGCAGAGATGGCAGCACTCATGGTCACAGTGCTGGCTTCCAACCTCTGCTCCTCTGGTGCTTCACAGTTCACAGGTTTATTAACATTTACTAGGCCCCACTAGGCGTTTGGGAACTCGCAGCTCCATCTGACAGAACAGCGACCGCTACAGGACGTGAGTCCTCCACATCCTGCAAGAAGTTCATCGCCCGCTGCCATTCCTGGCTTTGCCCACAAGCACCTGCCACCAGGATGCAGAGGAGGACGAGAGAAGAGCTGCAGACAGAGTGCTGGAGAGCGGATATGACCAGTACGAACGAGCAACGAGGCAGTGGTGCTGCGGCACTTCATTCAGCTACCGTCTGAGATTCCTGCTGATGACGGCGTTGCAGGTGATGGTGCTTGCCTGCGAATCGCATTGACACTATAGAGATTTTGGGTATCTAGCCACCGGGCTTCAACGGCAACCTGGACACCTGTGCAGTTGAAGTGAGTCGGATGCTGCGAGCTTGGCAAGCTTACCCGTGATTGTTCTCGCCCTCTCTGCACCTGACTCGCAAGCACTGTCACTGGCTCCTGCAGACGGCATTCTCGAAGGTCGCAGAGTAGCCCGACAGCCAAACACCATTTCCTTTGCAACGGAAGTGAAGGCTGCAAGTACAGGAAGCATGTTCAACAGCTTCTCGTGCCAAAAAGCTCACATCTCCCACAAGCACTGATTGCGGCATTGTAGGAGATCACCTCGCATCATGCTGCATCGGCGAGCCGATTCGGAAAGCGCGTTCCGGACATCGACGAAAATCTGCATGATAATGTTAAATGTCAAGTTCTACAATCAGGGGCATCTGCTCCAAACCCAGGGGCATCTGGTTCAAGCTGGGCCGTGTGCAGGCCAGCCAAGAGCGACAGCGCCTGCAATCGAACCGCTCAGCTCAGACACTCATAAGCTATGAACTTCAGATTTTCGCGTCCACTCTGCCACTCCAAACCCGTCCCCAGTACTGGCCTGAGTCCACTGCTCGCCCTTCTCACAGGCACTGATTGCAGCGTTTATGATGATGACATCCTCGGTTGTGACGATAGTAGCAAGTAAGTATAGTAACTGAATCAGGCACAAGTGCTTCACTGGCTTCACTGTTACTGTTGCAGGAGCTCGCAGATCCTGTTCTTGTTTACTCGCTCACTCTTCTTTTCTTCGGGAGTTCCTTGGGAGGACAGTCTGCATGTGCCCAAGACCCCTGCAGTATGCGCGGCCTCCTGTCACCTCGCATGGAATGTCCCACTCTTACTCTCGCTTGTTTCATCTTCCGTGGCCCTTCTGTGAGATTCTGTGAGACCAGAAGTGCAAGTGAAGGAAGGGCCAGGATCGCTGCTGAATTCACCAGGACAAAAAGCAATTGCAACCACCGCAAATGGCGATAAATTCTGGCCACGCAGAACTGCAAAGGCACGATGGGACCATCGCTTTATTAAGGAAGCTCAATCCTACTGACACACTTGTTTCTTGTTCTCTCCCTCTCTGATGCAGAAGAAGCCTCCTCACAGCTTCCTAAGTGTCGGCTCCGCCGGCATTAGCATTTACCGGCAGCATTTGTGGGAAGTCTAATGGCAAGCTCTCATGGACCCATGCAGTTTCAATAATGCCCAGTGGCAGAATCGATGCGGCTGTGAGTGAGGTCCCCGAGTAATTGCAGAGCGGTCTGCCAGGCCCCGCCTGATCCAAGCAATCTCAGGAGCTGACGTTGCTAGCTTATCTCGAAGACAGCTACAACGGCAGCGTCGAACCCCTAAGCAGAAGCGTCATCCGATGACAACGATGCCAGAGTTTCCGAAGACAACAGCACCAGTCTCGCGTTCCACGCGGTGAATCCCAGCAGCTCTTCATGCCCGCCTTTCTCGCAGGCACTGACTGCAGCGCTGACGAGAATGATGTTTGCATCCAGCCGGTCTTCCCCCAGACCGGCCAAAAGCTGCACGGCCTGGACCCACACTATGTAGCACGGCTCGATGTTGGCTTTTACTGCCAAGGAGTGTACCGGCATAGCGGTACTATATTTCTGCATTACAACCTCGGCAGGGTGAACTCTGGCAGAGGCTCCCCCTGATCGTCCTTGACCTTATCAAGACTCCTGCAAGAACAGATGTTGAACAATGTTGGAGCCTTGCCTGCTCCCAGCACCCGGCATGAGAACAAGCGTTGATTGCCGCACTGACGAGAATGATATTTGTATCCAGCCGGTCTTCCCGCATATCGGCCAGCAGCTGCACAGCCTCGTGGTAAGCTCACAGTTGCTCACAAGGTGGCGCGAAATTTGAAGCGCTAGCTACTACCGTGTCACAACCTGCTGGACAGTAAAGGATGTGCGGTTGTGGTTCATGTCGTTAGTGTCAATAATGTCCCCGTCAACCGGCCCGCGCCTGCTCCCAGCGCATTGCATGAGCACAAGCGCTTATGGCTGCCCCGTGGACGAAACAATTCCTCAGCGGGAAAGCTATAGAAGCATCGAGGATGGCACAAATGCGGCAGTGTCTCGCTTGCATCTTCAGCCGTCGCTGAAGACGTCATTCAAGGCTAACACGGCTGTCAGATTGACCTCCACAACATCGCTAGTCCAGGCACGGTTGCCAATCGCGAGCACGGGCTTCTTGCAGGAGGTACCTCGAAAATCCAACAACTGTCGCGAACATTTCATAAATTACTCTTAGGGATGGTGGCATACTTGAAGGAGGGAGCGAGAGATACTCAAACCTCTCCTTGGGCCGCCGGGGATTCAGGGTAAGCATGCCCACTGGTGCGGTATCCGTTGTCGATCGCCCAAGATTTCGTTAGCTGAGCACTTTATGCTTGCTTTGTAACACTTTCTGCCAGCCTCTCTTGCCAAACACAGATTTAACCTTGCCGACTCCCTAAAGAAGTTCATAGAATTCCCAGCAGTGTACTTTTCCTGGCGCACTACCCACGTTCTATTGCTAGTGCTGCAGCAGTAGTAGCAGGAGGGATACGTGGCATACGGTGGTGGCAGTGGTAGGTGGTAGTGGTAGTAGTGGCAGAAGTGGTAGTGGTAGTAGTAGTCGTCGTGGTCGTAGT